CCTCTGAAACTGTGCCATGTCTGTGTGAGACTACTCGACGTGGGTTTTATAAAGAGCCAGCAGTGTCCACACAGAGCAGTCTTTATTAGAACAGCGAGACGGCCCAGGGTACCCAGCCAAGGAGGGTTTTCTCCTCCTTCCTCCGGCTGCCATCTGGTTAGCATCCCCTGTCAACTCTCCAAGTGTTTTCCCTCAGAGGTTAAGTTATTATCCTCACTGGCTCTGCCGGACCCCAGCACAGAGCAGGGTGTGGAGGAAGCCTCCTGAATGCAGGCTCCTTAGACTGCATTTCTAGGAATCGAGGCATGAACAGTACTGACGCTGCTTACCCAGGGAAACGCCAAGAGGAATAACAGTGGCGAAGTGTTGACCCATACCTGTCAGTTTCATGACTCGTGTGAGTGTCTCGCAGAAAGGGTACGTGTGTATGTGCATGCGTATTGTGTATGTGAGAGCAGGCTGGCGATCCTCCAGACTTGGAGATTAGGACAGGCTGGTTGAATAGTAAGCCCCAGGGCTCCCCCCACCCCAGGCTGGGATTATCAGTGCAGGCCACTGAATCTCCTCCTCCTCCAGACCCTCAGAGGTCTTCATGCTTACGCTGGCTGAGCTGTCACCCCCCCCCCCCCCGTGATTGGTATCATTGTTTGGTTCGTGTTGAAGAACTTGTGTCTGACATTTCCTGCTGTCAATCACCGTCCGTCTGTCCATGCACGTCCGTCCTGTGCTGAACCTAACAGCACGCAGCTTTCTCCGCATATTCCTGCACCTCTGGTCCCTCATCTCCACCAGCGCCCCTGCACCCACACCAGGTGCTGAGGCCTGAGACCTGGTGCCAGGCCAGTGCCGTCCCCGACCTGACCTGCCAACCCTGCCGGAGACAGCTGCCTCCGTTAGAACTGCAGAGTGTAACAATTCTCCCGCCGTCTCCAGTGTCGTCAAATACTCCTCTTGCCTGGCCATTGTAATAATAAGTTCGCGTTTACTCCTTTTCTTATTCAGATTCATTCACCACACAAAACAGGGTCCAGCGTGACATTTGAAAATATACTCTGTGTCACTGGTCCTTCTGTTATTTTATTATTATTATTATTATTACTATTATTATTATTATTATTGGAGATTCACAGGGAGTTACACGGAAGGTACAAGCATGCTCTGTCCAGCTTCTGTCCACGTAAACCCTTTAATGCTCTGCTATTGTCCTGTATATCCACAAGCCTACACTGGACCTCTGTAGCCCTTGAGGTTAGCTTCGTCTTGCTCTGTCATGGCCCCGCCTGCCCTGCTGAGCCTGTCCCACTGCACAGGGACCTTGGATAGTTTCTCGTCTGAGCCTGATGCAGCTTTTACTCTCCGGTTGTTTCCTCCCCGCATCGAGCCCTGGCTCCTCCCCCTGCCCCATGTCGTCTCTGGACCCCTGTTCTGCTTTTTCCTCCAGGCCTTGTTATTCCACACTTCCTGAGCTTTCTGTAACCATTTCATGGCACGCTGCCCACCTCAGCCACAGGCATTGTAATCCAAAGTGTTGCGTGCCTATGGGCTTTCGAGTCTGCCACACCTACGGACTCAGAGACACCACCGAGACCTTAATCTGTTTCACTGTCACATATGGCAGACCCAGTGCCTGCACATAGTAGGTAGCTCATAGTAAACCTAGTTATGTACCCAGGCAGACATGCTGTTTACATCGTGAAATGGGATGGCCCTGGGCCGCCTCTGACCTTCAGCCTCCCACTCTTTGTTATACTCCCTACCACAGTGTCTGTGGACTTGCCCTATGCTAGACCCAATTACAAGAGGGCATTTCATTTCCTCTTTGATTTCCTTTCAGTAACAGATTGGGGCTTGTAATTCATTTAGCATTCATTGTAACCAGAATATCTGCTGATTATGTTTCCAGGCACCAACCTTGTTAAAATAAAGACAGAGAAAAGATGTCATCTCTTGAGGAGAGCTTGGAAGATGACTATTTCTGGCAGAGAACTTGTTTTGTCTTATAGACTTGAGCTTCGGGGTCTTTCATGAATGAATAATGCACTCAGGAAAGATCAGTGAAGCATTCTCTGAACCCTCTCAAGTGACTCTGCTGAAACCGAATAAGGGAAAGCTGATAAGAGATTAAGAGAGGAAAATGTGGTCAGTGTGACGCAACTCCTGAAGGAATGGAATTGGGCGATCCATCTAGTTTACGACGAGTTTTTCAGGTTTCAATCACGAGTCACCCAACTAATTTTTCTCTTGACTATTTAATCCCAATGTTTATTCCTTTTTACTATTTCCCAACTATAAACTAAGATAGTGTGCAAAAACTGAAGGATTACCAAAGATCTCTTGGTAATCACTCCCTGACTCCATGTATGACTTTTACTTTAATACCATAGCTTTTTTTTTTTTTCCCTAAGAGTGATTTTAAATGTTTCATGCATTCTCATTGCCTTTCTTAATGGATGATGATTGTCCTCTGTATAGTATTTCATAACAAAGAATAGTTACAACGAAAAGTGCAGTCAAAAATCAAGCATTAAAAAAATAAACAGTACTTGGAGCAACTGTGCCGAGTCCCACAGCGTTGACTCCCTCCGGTAGCATTCATCACACTGACAGAATAGGAGAGTAAAGAGAGTAAAGAATGACAACAGACACTGGTAAATGGATGGGGAGGGCGGGGTATCTAAGCCAGCATCATGTGGGTTTGCTAAAGGGAAGCTATCGCGGTAAATAAGGATCACGATAAACAAACAGGCCGAATAGATGTTTATTCAGGGAGAAATAACTTACAACCTAGACAGATGAACACCAGGAAATTCAACCAGATCCTCTCCTGTCCGAGTCACGCCAGAAAGAGAGCGCCTTTCCTGGCCCCCTCCGACCTCCTTCCACAGCTCACTTCCGCCCATGGCTCCACCCCCAATGGGCGTGGTCAGTGCCACAGAAGGACTATCTCACTACAATTCCCCTTTTAGTCTAAAGAAAAGATTTAGGCTTAATACAAAACTATATACAAAACAGTGAATAACAAGTGTGCTCTAAGAAAAGGAAAATGGAGATCAAAATGACCTACAGGAAGCCACCCTTGCCCCAGGCTTCCCACCCAGCTCAGGGTGGAACTAGCCAAGGAGAGTCTCCTGCAAGGTCATTAGCAGGAGACATGGATTCCCAGGCACTCAGTGGGTGCACAGCCATTTCTGTCTTCCTTTGCTCTGTAAATCATACCCCAGCTCGGTGCGCCCTGTCCTGGAGGTCAGCAGGAGGAATCTTTGGAAGGGGGGGAGGGTGTCAGTGGACTTCAAGTTCAGACTGGATCTTTAGTCCTATCCCTCGTGGTTCTTGTAAGGGCATACACGTGTGTGCGGATGCTCCTCCGTGTGAAGGTCAGAGGTCAGCGTCACGTCTTCCTCGGTCACTCTCCACGTTGTTTTTGGTTGTTGTTCCTCGGTGTTGGAACTTACTGGGTAACCAGGAATGTATAAAATACAGCAGTCTCACTGGCTGCGACTTGCTTCTAAATGTGCTTGATGGGTAGCCGTTGGCAATGTCAAGTTCCTTTGTTACAGTCTCAGTTACCAATACCGACTCTCAGATCACACATTAGACCTCACACTAACGCAAGAGTGCACGCCCTTACAAAGTGGCTAAGGTAGGGCTTACAGTGGCTGCCCTGAAGTCAGAACCACGGGAGTGTCTGTGGGAAGCCCAGGGTAGGTCTTCTTAACCACAGGCAGCCTGTTTAAGCACAGAGGTGTCAGATGCAGCCCATCCTGCGTGAGGGTCAGTTTGAAGAGGCCTGAGTGTCACCAGCAGGAGGAACAGGAGATAAGACACATCACCGAGCACCAGTGCCTAGTCAGCATGCTTGCTACATTTCATACGTTTCAGTCAGGGGGTGCTTTTTTGAGACACCGTGTCTCACTGAACCTGGAGCTTATCACTCGGGCTACACTAGCTGTAAGCTGTAGGAATACACTCACCTCTGCCTCCGCGGAGCTGGGCTTAAGATGCACACGTGTGCATGTGTCCCCAAGGGTAGTGGGGATCCAAACACTAATGCTTATGTTTGCAGAGCAAGCACTATACCAAATAAGCCATCTCCCTGCGTCACTAAAAATCTCTCAAAACAAAAGACAAAACCATGGTCACAGCGTCATATTTGTGCCTAGGCAGCGATTTGATTTCTAAGTATGGAGACCTTTAATAAATCTAAAAGGAAACAATTTAAAAATAAAAAAAAAAAAGTCAAACATGATATCCTCAATGGCTAGTAAGATGGCTCCATACTGCGCAAGCTTGAGGACCTGAATTCAGACCTCTTACACCTATGTAAGAAAAATACCAAAACCGCAGCACGGCCCACATATGTTCACCACATCAGCATTGGCGTGGGGGCAGGAGCAGATGGATCCTGGGAATTTGATGGCCAGCCAGCCTACCTGAAATGGAGAGCTTTGGGTTCCCTGAGAGACCATGACTCAAGGGCATAAGACCCAGAGCCTTCGAGGAAAGCACCCATGTCTGCTTCTAGCCTCTGCCCATGCGTCCAAAGGTGTGCCCAGCCATGCTTGAACAATGCTTGTCAGCAGGCACACTGCATACAGACACATACCAACACAGATTTACACCTTCATTGATAAACAATTTATTTCTTTTCCTTACAGGAAATGAGGATAAAACAGTAGAAAAGTCATTTCAGGTGATGGGGAAAAAAATAGCTCAGGTCTTTGATGTGTTTCCTGAGCGCCGCCAGACACGGCCCCCGGAGGATTTCTCAGCAGCACCGCCCTCTCTTCCGCCCCCTGTTGGCAAGTGTGCCTTGCTGCAGCACCCCTTAACCAAGAACCTTCCTTTCATGGCCTAGCAGGGCTTTCTACTATGTTTAAATTTTGGTTACTTGACAAAAAAGAAAGAAAAAAATGTGTGTGGCACAGATTTTTTTAAGTGTTGATTGAGCGCATAATTTAAAAGTCAGAATATTAAACAAACATCTCTGTCCTTTCTTCCAGCAGGCAGCCCAGAGAACAGCTCTCCGCGCCCTATCTGACAGGTACATTTTGTCATTTTTATGAACTATAAATTGCCTTATGAAACATTGAGCCCTATTTATTGTGGCATATAATTCATAATCGGATTTTGTCCCTAAAGAATCTGAGAGCTGGGATGTTAAACATTTCTCCGTGCTTGGATTTGTCATGCGTGCATGGAGTTTATTACTGCAAAAATCGCCTTGTTGTATTTCACGTAAAGTATGAAAAATCCCTTGTTGTGCCGTGAAACAAGAGACAGGAAACTTAGGCGGGAAGGGCCTGAGTGGTGCCGTAAATTCTGAACTTTGGAACTGGTTTAGAGCCAGGCTCATTTTTCAGCTATAAGTACTTCATTTATTTTGAGGTGTTTTCTTCCCTCCTTCTGTGCCCTTTCACCCAGAGGACTCTGCCTTTTGGTAGGATTTTCTCCTGAGCCCTATGGTCCGCCGCCTGACTTCTTAAGTCCTGGCTTGCTTCTCCTGCCTTGTATTGCTGAACTGGAATTTGCAGCCCGCTTTTTCTCAAAGGTTGCAGAAGTACCGGATGGAGAGATACAGAATCACTTTCTAGAACAGACCAGGACAGACGGCGCTTTTCAGTTCAGACCTGGACTGCTCCCTACGTTCTTGGGTTCTGGAGTCGGGCAGAGAGGCCCAGTCGTCTCCAGCCATGCTCCCTGTGCTGTGCCCTCCTTTCGAGACCCCACACCCAAGCATTTGCCCTCAGTTCTGAATGGCCCACGGGTACCCTGACATCTATCAAGGGTGGCATCCTTGCTCTGATGAAGCCTGGTTTTGCTGACCAGGTTCTGGGAGGGTCTGGATTTGCATTGTAAGGTCGGCTGGAAGGAAACCTGTCTTTACTGCTTTCACACCTGGTCCAACAAGGCCAGCCACAGGGAAAGGGAAGGGGGTTCTCATGCCTCTTGGGTAGTGGTGGCTTTGATGATGTCCAGATACTTTCTGAAGGGTTTCTTTCTCCATCCTTTCATATCGCAAAAGTCACCTACTTTGTTTTCTAAAGAGGCACAAATCCAATATTTACTATTCTTGACTAAGCTTTTTAGAGTGAGGTTTGTCTTTTTTAACTGTGTTTTAAATTATACGCATTCACCGGCATGATGTGTTGATCCTTTGTGTGATATTTTAGTTAAATCAAAAACATCTTGGGAGCTGGATAGATATCTAAGTAGTTAAGAGCATTTGTTGTTCTTATGGAGAATGTGGCTTCGATTCCCACCACCTCTATGGTGGTTCACAACCATCCTAACCCCAGTTCCCGGGGGGGGGGGGGGGGGGGGGGATCCAAGAGGCATATATATGGAGGCAGGCAAGACATTCATACACCTAAAAGTAAAGTAAATACATTTTTTAAATTTTAAGGCATTTATCTTTTGAGACATCCCTTCTTCACTGAAATCATTCAGGACCCTTTATTGTAGCGTTTTCATAGTTTTTAACATTTTTTTTTTTAGTGTGTGCACATGCATATGCTTGCTTGTTTGTGGAGATCAGAGGACAACATGTAGGAATTGGTCATCTCCTTCCTCCTAGGTCTCAGAGATCAAACTCAGGCCGTCAGGCTTAGTGACTGAGTGCATTTACCCAGTGAGCCTCCTTGCTGGTCCTTTTCTAGCCTTTTCCAAAGGCACCAAGTCCCTTATCGTTATGTACCGACAGTCTACTGAGTACTGGTGTACTGGGGCCTGATACCCAGGCCAGCAGCTCTGAAGTTCGGGAAGTCTCAGCTGAAAATAAAATACATCCATTGCCTAACTTTAACAGGCCACATGGGATACTGACATGGCTTTGTTTGTAATTCAGCCAAAAAAGAAGAGCACAGCAGGCCGTGTGGGAAGCTGACCTGCAGCCCCACTCGCCCGGACCTCGCCCTGAGGTGACAGGGTTTGTTGTAGGGAGATGGGCTTGGGTGGGCTTTGTTCTGTTCTACACCTGACTGTAGGCTTTTGTTTTATATTTTCAAGAAGTGTGAGGCCTACTGGTGTCCCCAGATGATGAAAACCACAAGCAACCAGGGCAGGAAGAGGTGGCAAAAGTCTTGAAGGGATAAAAACGGCAATTAATTATTAGACCGTAGTTCGCACAGGTGCTCTGTTCTTACAGTCTCGAGTGCTGTGGGGACAGGTGAAGGGGGTGGGGGTGGAGGGACACTCGGCTCCTTCGGGAAGGTGCACGCCACACTGCAGGGGTTTCCCGTGTTGTCTGTAATGTGGAGAATATGCAGGCGGCTGTTAGGAAGGAAGGGTTGCATGCGGCACGTGAAGAGCCTTGAATATGATTAACTTCTCTCTGAAGCAGTAAATAGCAGACTGCTCTGATCAGAGCAGGGATTGGTGTGATTTATCAATCCGAGGAGCGACTGTTCATTTGCAGGGAAGCTGGAGGTCAGTCTGGAAGTCTACGGCCAGAGGAGCGTGAGGAAATTGCCAGGACTGAGAAGTTAATCATACCCCGAGACTGCTTCCATCTGTCTTGGGGCAGCAGAGTCTCTGCAGGGAGAGCAGGCATGCTTTATAGCAGTAGATCAGGAATTAATATTTTCTGGGGAACCTCGGGCATCATTTGCAGCAACTTGGGTTTTATAAAAATGGAGCATAATTTTGTATGAATAAATCACACTGTTAGAAATGTGAGGGGCTGAGAAAAAAATTGCTTGGCTCTAATAAAGGGGGGGGAGGATCAAGACAGCTGATATCCATGCAGCCATGATAGCAACGGCACTTGGAGGGCAGGGATGGCGGTGTGCTTAAATTGTGCATGTAATCATTTTCTAAAACGCCAGCGTGCAGCTCCAGCCATGGCTACGTTTTTATAGCTTTGGAGAGCCATCGCCAGACCTGTCTGCCCATCTGGCAGACTCTCAGGTCCAAGATCCATTTATATTAACATCCAAACAACTGCCATGGATTTATCCATTTATTCCTGGGCTCCTCACTGAGCACGCGCAGCATGCTCGGTTTGGGGGCAATGCTTGGACTGAAGTGAGCTGCTGGAGAAATGTTTCTTTCTGCTCAGGGCCTTGGCAGCCTGAGGCCAGAGGCCGGGGGTTGGGTTTTCAAGGAGAGAGGCCTGGCCCTGCTTCTGCACTTGCTTCTGCCTGGTTTTCCTCTTTCTCTGGTAAAGTTTCACACATGGAGTCCTGCTCTCCATGGGGAAGAATAGAAGGAACTGAAATAGATAAGGAATAGCCTACAATTAAGAGAACTTCGCCTCCACCCTGAGAGCGGGACGTGAAATGATGTGTGTCCAGAAACATGTCCCTGTTGTGAGGGATGGAAGGGAAGGACAGACGCTGACTGGGTAGTGGGTGCTTCTACTCCAGCTTCCTCTTCCTGCTCCCCCCGCCCCCAGTTGACTAACTGATCCCTTCTGCTTAAAGTATTTTGCTTTATTTATTGTGGATGGCACGCATGCTACCAGGTGCCGATGGCTGTCAGACGGCAATCCGAGCAAGCTGATTGTCTCCTTCCGCCTTGTAAACCCTGAAGAGTAAACGAGTGTCAGCAGGCTTAGTGGCAAGCTAGGTGGCAACCTTCACCTACTGAGCCACCTTGTAGGCCCAGTTGCTCTCGAAGCATCAATAAGAGCAGATGGGGCCACTGTTAAGGGAGTTTTGAACTCATGGCTCTGACAGTGTTAAAGTGGCAGGTTCCTATCAGCAGAGCCTGCGGGGCCCATGTTCCCTAGTTTCTCTCAAGCAAGGGACGCCTTATCGCGAAGGCTTTGGGACACCATGTGCATCGCAGGATTTCTAAAAGTATTACGGTTCAGAGGCTCTGTCCCATTTACCGTATTACTTTGTAATCTTCAGAACAGTCCTGACAGGTGTGTGGGAACTTAAACCCAAAAGGGCAGGGGGTGTGTCTCACCCAGGGGCCACCTGGAAGCAGGTGGTGCAGCTATGACTCGAACTCAGGTCCAGCCATCCTCCACACAACAGCAAGCAAGCTTTGAAATATCAGAGACCTCTGCTGTAGGCTCAGCCACCTTTCGGATCCATGTGTTATTTCTACCTTAGCCGTCTTTTTATACCTACAACATTACCTGGCAACCAGAGGAGACATTATTGGGTGAATAAGTGAATGCGTAAATGAACAAATGATTGAATGGGTGAACCAAGACAGGGCTGTGGCTACGGAGGCAACTCTGGGCTTAAAGTAGAAAATGATTTTCAGAATCTGGTCTCCATCCCAGCAACACGGTAACTCGGAAGGGAGAGGTTGGTACACAGGGGCTCAAAATTCAGGGGTTAGGGTTGCTTTAGTCAAGTAACATGAGCAGCTAGTACATGGATAGAACAAGAGAAAAATATTGAACAACTGTTAAAAGAATCAGTCCAAGGGTGGACAAGACAGCCTCCTGCCTGATGCGCTTAAGTTTGAGTGGAGTAAAGTAGAAGCCAGTGATTAGGAGAAAACTCTGCAACTTTGTCAGTAGGGTTTCTGACACCAAGTGGAAGTCAGGCCAGGTGACTTATGTAACTGACATCAGAGAGAGAGAGAGAGAGAGAGAGAGAGAGAGAGAGAGAGAGAGAGAGAGAGAGAGAGAGGCGCATACACACGCATGCACACACAACCTTTCATTGCAATGCATTGTGACAAGACTTAAAATGTCCCCTTCTTACCTCTACTGACTCATTCAAGAGGCATTTACAGTTCTGACCGCACACTGGGTAGGGCACCACTCTGTTGTCCGTAGAAGAATGGTGTAGAATGCATAGCCTTCCTCTTGGAGCAGCTGTGCGTCAGCATGCTAAGGGTGTCATTGATGGTATTCATTTAATCTTCACCACAGCCATCTCAGCAAGGAAGAAAGGGTCCAACATTAGGGCTGTAAAGAGAGGCTATTGTCCATAGGATTCCGTTGCCCTTCATATTCTAAACTGCTTTCCCCAAAATCCTACTGCATCTGGATTTCTGTTAACAGAGCCCCAGAACAATCTGTCCGACCCCAGAGTCAATGCCTTTAGCCACTTCAGTAAGCAAACCCCTGCCCCCATC